TCCCACGGCCAGAACACTATGCAATTTTTGTTGATTTGCTTGGACGGAAAAATAGGCTCAAAGAAGCAGTGGAAGTGATTGAGAAGGCTCCTAATGGTTCGGATCATATTGGAATGTGGGGTGCTGTCTTAGGCACTTGTCGAGTCCATGGAAACTTGGAACTTGCCAGAAGGACAGCAGAAGCCCTTTTTGCACTGGAGCCTGAAAATACTGCGAGGTATGTAATGCTGTCGAATATATATGCGACAGCTGGAATGTGGGACGATGTGCATCGAGTGAGAAGGCTTGTGAATGACAGGGATTTAAAGAAAGAAGCGGGCTCGAGTTGGATAGAGGTAATGAATGTAAGGCACAAGTTTATTGCTGAAGACGTGTTCCACCCTGAGATAGAAGAAATACATGAATTACTTCATAATCTTGTAAACCAAATGAAAGATGCTGAATACATGCCTCACATTAAAACCCCCTTTTTTACTGAATATGGATCACCTCTATCTGTATAAGTATAGATCGATGAATCTTTGAAGTTCAGATATGCACTGAACTTGAATCAACATCTGAATTATAATGCTATTTAGCTTGGGACTAGGGCTTGTGATCCTTCTCTTAGTGGTAGGCAAAATTAATAGCTGTCTCCAGAGTTCCGTAGAATTTGGTGAAGGGTAAGGGAGAGAAATGGTTACTCGATTTGTGATACCTATTCTTCATTTCGAACTGTTCAATTCTGTGAACCTTCATCCTGTTTCATAGATGAGATCATCAATCTGGCGCAAGTTCCTCCAGTCAGGGCGGAGAATATTCTTACAAAGGTCGGTTAAAAGCGCAGCTCCTTAGAAGAAATATACAGCAATATTTTCGCTTCTGACTTGAGCATTTATCTGCTTGTCTGGATGTATTTGTTTCCTCTATGCCCGATTTATTCTTATATCCTATTGGATGGAAAGGCCCTGTAATTTGTCAGAGAGGAATCAAGTCTTTCATTTCTAAGTTCAGCCATGGTTGTTGGACTGTGCGAAGCTTAATCATATTGTACACTTATCCCCTCAACTTCATAACAACATGATTGGGATTGGTGCTTAATCCCCTGACAGTGTGCCAGATGAGATCAGCTCATGGAGCACTGNNGAGCACTGGATTGAGATTGAAAATGTACCCCAAAGGGTATATGTATCAAATACTCTAATTTTATATTAATAAGGATGTACTTGTTTCTACGATTAACTTGCGCTTATTAAGAGGGTGTTTGATAGAGATTAAAATTAAATTTTTAGTATACTGAGATAGAAGTTTTTGAAATGTGTGATTGAAAAATTGTGGGATCCATAAAAGATATAGTTAATATTGATTGTTTGACTTTAATTTGAATTAAAATCAAATTTTAATTCGAACCAAACATGAACTAAATTGAAATCAGAGTCGTGGACGGTGGTGCAATTTTGTCGACGTAATTGCTAAGCAAATTTGGCCATACAAAGCCTGTATCCACCGAAGTTGCTATGCTATACCAACTAGCGGTCAGCCCCATGAACCCCCAAAGATCAATTGCCCAGCTTGTAAAAAGTTCCAATCCTACTGAAAATAGGTGTAAAGATCATAGCTTGTTCTTATCAATTTGGTGTAACGTCTAGAAATCACGTGAATAATGGTATGTCTCTTGAGTTTAAGAGTAACACGATATATAGAAGTGTTCAATTATCATTGATCGTTTAGCATAAATGCAGTAATTGCTTGACTATTGTTGTTAGTATCGAATTGAATGAAGAGCACGATCGATAGGTAAATAATTG